TTCACTTTGTGATGGAGGAACAACGAGTCCTCGCCAAGCGGCATGTTTGTGGTGCTGGGTGTCGGCCAGCAGCGCTGGACACAAAAAGCTCGTCCGATCAAAGCAATCTGGGAATGCTAATGTGGCCTGAGAATGCACTCTTAATCCCCCTCCCATCATCATGCACGATGACATGTCTTTGTTTGTGGGAGGACAGCAGATACGTCCAAGTATGCGTAAGACAACGGTCAGAGTTTAATCTGCTGCAGAGACCGAGCACCCTCATCTACATTAACACTAACACACTGTCAGGTGTAATACAGCAAAACAAGCTCACATTCATTTACTGTGATACATCAGACACCTGGAAGTAACTAAATAAAATGTGTTTACAAGGAAACTCTGCAGAACCTTTCCAATTACAAGAACAAAGAAAAAGATAAAACACAGACGAGGAACGATCTAGAAAGAGTGGTCCATGCTTTTATTACTTCACGGCTGGACTACTGTAATTCCCTCTATGCTGGCCTAGATCGTTCCTGTCTACATCGCCTTCAACTGGTGCAGAACGCTGCCGCTCGCCTGTTGACCAGTTCAAAAAAAAGAGACCACATCACTCCGGTTCTCTGCTCTCTCCACTGGCTCCCAGTTGCTTTTAGGATTGATTTTAAAATCTTACTGCTGGCTTTTAAGGTTTTAAATGGCACTGCACCTTCTTACCTGTCAGAACTCCTTAGTACTTATCGCCCCAGGAGATCTTTGAGGTCAGCCGATCTGATGCTTTTAGATGTTCCCAGGTATAAATTAAAGACAAAGGGAGAGAGGGCGTTTGCTGTGGCTGCACCCAGACTGTGGAACAGTTTACCTCCTCACGTCAGATTCTCCAAAAGCCTAGAAACTTTTAAAACTGCTCTTAAAACTCACCTCTTTTCATTGGCTTTTAGAAAGGTTTAATTTATTTGTTTATTTATTTTTTATTTGATCAGCGAGGTGTTTTACGAAATTGTGTTCTATTGTATTTTTATCTGTATTTACTGTACAGCACTTTGGTCAGCCTTGGTTGTTTTTAAATGTGCTCTATAAATAAACTTGACTTGACTTGACATAAAATGAACTGAATGAAGTTTAAATATTTCAGCCTTCAAAGATGGGCAGCAGCTCAGTCAGCAGTGGTTACACAAACTGATACACAGAAAAATACATACGAAATGTGAAGAAAATGTAAACTTCAAAGCTAAGGAGACATCAGAATAACTGCACCTCCTCCTCCAAGATGAAGGCCAGAACGAAATCCAACAGCTCAAGTTTCACAACGCTGAAATGCTCATGCTCACTAATCACCGCTTTTACTTTACCTTTCACGTGAAGCTCAAATGCAACACAGAAGAGCTCTGAATTTTTCATTTCTCCATCACGTCATATACAAAAATCTGAAATCTCCACTTTAAGGCAGATTGTCCTGCTTATGATCCTTTCAGACAACATAGGCCATGGATCAGGACTGAGAATAAAAAAAGAGTCATGCATGAGCAGAAGACACCACTGTTTAGAGTTGCCTCCCCCCTCCCAATATTACTCCAGTGTGCAGAACTGTAAAGAGGACAAAACAAAGGATGCTGCTGGTGTAGGTGAGGCTGTGAAATGGACACACACTCCTTCAGCTGCAAATATCTTTTTTACCGTCTTTTCCCAGAAATTGAAACCTCCCCCCTAATAACATCATGCACATCATGAAAGACTCCAAGCATGGTCCCCAGTGTTACCCATCAGCCTCCCAGTAGATGCACCTATGATAACACTTCCTTCAGGAGTATCACATTCACAAGAGTTTTGGAAAACTGACCTTGACCCTGAGGTCGAGGTGACAGAGATTCTAACTCATCTGAGATTTTTAGTAGCTGCACCTGTGGTGTAATTTCAAAATCCTACGTTGGCTCGTTCTCAAGTAACCACAAACCGGGGTGTCCACACCACCCACCCAGCAGGGTGACAACAACACCTCTTTAGTCGTTTACAGCTGAGCGCTGTTGTGTCTGTCAGTCATTAAAAGACGAGACTTTATGACCCTGTCGTCGAAGCATTCCAGATTTACTTTTCAAAGACATCTCTGCTCTCAGGTATCAGTACTATTGGATATAGACAGCACATGCATTCAGCATAAAATATCTGGGGTGTTTTTAAAACCTCATTTAGGAAAGAACTCAGTTAAGCTGATGGTTAACTAGGCCTGATTCAAATCACTGCAGAGCACAAAACACCGAGAGAAAGAGAAAAGCAGCCCAATGATGTCGCAACAATTAAAGCAGCACAAGAGCAGAGTCGTCTCGGTTTCAGTGCAGGTCACGCTGGTACTTAATTCATCAAAAAGGTATCACACCATTTTCATATGCAACGTAGTCCATGTAAGGGCAGGGATAGCTCAGTAGGTAGAGTGGTGGCCCCATGATCGGAAGGTCGGGGGTTCGACTCCACTGAACGGCTACCCTGAGGTACCCCTGAGCAAGGTACCGTCCCCACACACTGCTCCCCGGGCGCTGCACTGGTGGCTGCCCACTGCTTCGCTGGGTGAATGGGTTAAATGCAGAGGAACTATTTCCCTATGGGGACTAACACGCACACTTAAAATGTAATGCCCTCAACATTTGGTAGCCTTACTCAGGCATACTAATGCAACACAATGCAACATAGCTCAAACAGCACAATCTTCTAAAAGAAAAGATAAGTAACAAATCTTTCATTTTTTTCTTGCATAAACGTCTTTCAAAGACCTGAAGATGGCAACTCAAGAGCAGATTAAGAAGTTTCCTTTAAAAAGATCTTCACAATTTACCCGAACCACACAGCCTCGCCTTCGCCCATGAACCTGGCAGCACACAACACGTAATCCTGCCTTTAATTCAGTTCAAGCTCATTAATGCAGCACAAATCACAACAACAGTCACCTCAAGGTGGCTTTATACTGCAAGGTAAATGCCCAACAGTGTTCACAAGACACAGCAATCAGACTTTACAGCGCCATCATGTTGTTTCATTGCAGTTGCACGCCTCTCTTCCTCAGTCTATGACTATATATCTAACCGGTGTGTTAGCTCCTTATAGAGGCAAAAGGATCTGTGAACGGTGCAAACAGAGAAAACTGCATTAAATGATACTGTAAAAAAAACAAAAACAATGATGCATTCATCAGCCTGTGTCTGATGTTTTAAGGACATTTTTCTAACATATTTTCAGATATTTCCTGACAGGAAACTCTCTGAACACCATTTGAAACTGTCACAAACATCCATCAGCTGTTAGTTTTTCTCCCTCTCCCTTCCACATTGTTCAACAAAAAAAAGAAAGAAAATGTGAAACAAGCTCAACCTTCAATCACTCTCTCCAAATTCAACCGTCTTAGACAAAACACAAAACCCCTCCGGGGGCTGGTTTGTTGTCACAGGCAAGCAAATGAAGAAGAAATGAGGAGGATGTTTAAAATGGGCCACACAATCACAAGCTCGTCATCCGAAAATAAAAAATAAAAAGAAGGCTGGCGCGCAGTGATGCGTTACCACAGTAACACATTTTCTCTGCAGAAAGCTGTCCACTCGCTCCCAGGAAAACAAAACCCCCCAAAAAGGACAAAGCAACCAACAAACAGGCGAAACAACTGCGAAGATCCCATGCACTGTAAACAAAAAACAAATAAATAAATTAAAAAACGCCCGCCGTGACAAAAAACTTCATCCTGCAGTGAAACTCAGTTAAAGCAAACAAGCTGGCCAAGAGTATTCTAGTCGTCCAAATATCATCAGGAAAAATGAAACAGAAGTTTATTTCCTCCCATCTACTTGCTTCGTCTGGCATCTTCACTCATTTCTGGGTCCAAATGCTTCAGTTCCAAAACGAAAACAAGCACAGACAATTGAAAACAGTCCAAATTTGTTTAGCTCCAATAAAAAGATGCGTGTGGTTGTTCTAACAGGTGTTACAGTAAAGTTTAGCATTCAGGCGTCGATGAAACGAGGATTTACAAAGTCGCTGCTCTAACGTTGAATCTAACATCGCTGGAAAACTTGTCAAGGATTAGCTTATGTACAGTTTTGATATGACGTGGAGTCCTGCGAAAAACTAGGCACGCCATATGATTAAATAGCTTAATCAACAACCTTTATTGATAATAACTTGATCAAATGATCAGTTTCTGTGGATAAAATCTGTCCCACTCTTCTTTGCAGCATCACTTCATTTTTGCACAGCTCTCTTGAGGTCCGGACTTTGGCTGGACCTTCGCAACATTTTCTTTTTCAGCCATTGCTGCTGTGCTCGGGATCATTGTCCTGTTGCATGACTCAGTTTGGGCCAAGCCCAAATCAATACCCCTGCAGCGCCGCGCTGACCGTCTGTGCTGTATGAAGTGCTATGGCCAAACGTCTCCACTTCCAAACAAGCCATATTTGTTCAATCTTTTCTAATTGTACTGTCATGAATGTAATATTGTATGACAGGAAAAGAAAGAAAAAACTCAGGTTTGTGCATGTCTCTGAGCATTGCATGATCTGACTATGGGATGAATTTGCGAGGATTTTCACTCGTGCTGTAATGTTTGCACGTGCCTGAATGCTCCAGACCAACAAACTGCTTTTATAGAGGTGCTTACACTTGCTGATGATCAATTAATTAAGGGCATTTAATTAGCAGCACCTGGGTCCTACCAGGCTGAGAAGAAACCAGGCTGAGAATGGCAATTAAATAGGTCTGGTGGGCTTGTGCCAGTTTAAAAAAAAAAAAACAGAGCACTGGAGAATATTAAAGAGACGAGACTCCCATTCATCATAAGGAAACATTTGAACCCAGAAATGGGGTCATTATGTCATTAGCTAACGAGCAGATAAAATTCATTCCCCTCCCCCGAACGTAGAATTAAAGATAACAGTTTAATCATCACTGCAGAAGAAGTTTGCTGCAAAGACAGACATTCTCTGGCAGGGTGATAAAGTGCATACATCATGACCTGAATTACAAGCAGTGGCGGGACTTACGTTCTCCTTCCCCACGATGTTGTCAAAGGGGAGCTCGGGGCTCCACGAGGCCTCGTTAAAGGTAGCGCTGCTGGCTCGACGGTCGGCCGAGCTGGCCGCCTCCTTCATGATGTCCTCCGGCAGGGAGAGCAGACTCTCCTCGGGCTGCTTTATCAGGTACGTCTCGATGTTGTGGCGGCGAAGGAAGTCGTTGCGGTCCTTCCCGTGGCCTTCCTCCACCTCGTAGTCACCGTTTAAACAATCCAGAGCTGCCTTAGAGATGTGGATCCTCCTGAAATGGAGAAAAAACATACATATTTAAAACATCTTTTGCCACTTTAGCTCAGTGGGTGAGAAGGTAACCACAGGCCACAGTGGTCTGGGTTCAAGTCTGACCCACAGTCCTTTGCTTCGTGCTTGCTCTCTCCCCACTTAATGCCTGCACTTACTATCCAGTAAAGATAAAAAATGGCTATATATATATATATATATATATATATATATATACATATATATATATATATATATATATATATATATATATATATAAAAACATCATGCCCAAAGGGAAAGAAGTATCCCTAGATACAATGTAATCATGTCGCTGATTAGATGTAAATCCATAATTCAGTTCTGGCTTTGTCTTGCTTTTGTCTTCTGTTTCCTGTACTTTGTGTTTTATTGTGTGTGTTATTTGTGGTCTCTCTATTCATTTTCTCTTTCCCTTCACCCACCCAGCCAATCGAAGCTGCCCCTCCCTGAGCCTCATCCTATTAGAAATCTTCTTTCCCACCATCACATCAAGAGCAGCTCATTGGAGTTCTCTTGCTAAAATTGCAGGATCTTCCCTTACATGTACTCTGAGATGACCGCTTTGACTAGAATTCATTTGAACTGAAGTGAATCCATGACATAAATAATTCCTGTGAAAAACATTTGCTGTTCAATGTTTCACTTTCTTCACCAGGTACTGATTTTTTCTTGAGGATCTTTTTTATATTGTGAGGTCAACACCTACAGTAACACAGAGAAAATCCCAATGATCAGATCACACCTGTGAGCAAGCACTTGCCTACAGGGGGAAAAACTCCCTTTCAACAGGAAGAAACCTCTGGCAGAACCAGGCTCAGCAACCAGTGGAGATGCATTTAGTGATGACTGGAACAAAATTCCACCTCAGATACACATTTGATGAACATTACGTAACATATGGGCGACAAACATGAACGTGACATGAAACAAACACTAATGTAGAATGTAACATCACATTCACAGGAGGGTGATGAATGTGAAAAATCAAAAGAACTGGGATTTATAATAAATGCTTTTTTAATACATATAGATGTTAATAATCACTATATACATGATGATGCTCGAGCTCGATTGGCCCACCTGTTAAGGAGACGATACATACAGACATAGACATACAAATTTGCTTCCGTTATAATTTGCAGCACGAGGTGACGGGTGAAAAAACGAGTCAGATTATATAGAAGTTTATGGGAAAAGATGCTTGCAGGAAATGTTAAATCAGTACTTAGAGAAATAATCTGCCTTTTAAGGTCAAACAGGAACAACAGGAACGTGAAGATTAAAAAATTCCCATATTATGCCACTAAACTATCCTTTTAAAAACTATATGAGGGTGGATAAAAATAAATGACCGAGGGACTCAGCATAATCGCATCTCCTGCTCGGCTCTGGCCATGACATATCTTTACCAAACATCCGTTTGCTTTCTCTGGAGCCATGTTTTATGTGAGTGAATTTTCCGTCTGTCCACTGCCAATAATCCAACTGGAGATAAAAACAGCCACAGAAAATTCCTTCCGTTTCCTCACCCTGGGATGCCTCCAGACTCCAGCTTGTTGGCGATGTCCACATCCCAGGACCAGACATCGAACTGCCACTTCCTGAGTCCCAGCACGCCGCACAGTACCGAGCCGGAGTGGATCCCAATACGCATGTCGATGTCGTGTTTCGTCCGTGATCTCACGTATCTGGAAGAAAGCGGGAAAAAAGCGGTTAATTTTTGGCATAGTACTCTTATATAAATCAGGACTACGGTGCTAAACTAATGTACTGAGAAGAAACGGAGAAAACTAGCCGATTTTTGGCAAGAAGAACGAACAAACAACAGACAGAGGTTGCAACTGACTGGCTAGCCGCTCCATGTTTGTTAATACAGTGGAAAGAGAAGATTAGCTGTACAGCTTTGCTTTGTGCCAGTACAGGGTTTACTGACGGCTGCAATAAATCCCAAAGAACGGGAAAAAAGAACATGGAAGTCTTAGGTTTGTAAAGGTTTGTGCTCTGGAAGAACAAGACCAAAATGGAGAAGTTTATCCATAATGTAAAGCACAACATTTAAAACTAACCAAACACCCCATACCAACGGTCAGCACGGTGGTGGAGGGCTGACGTTTAGGACTTGTTTTGCAGCAACAGGACCTTGGCACGCCACAGCCCCTAGAGTTAAATGCCATCGGTCTCAAACTGCAAAGATCACAAGAAAAGCAGCACATCTACAAATCTACAGCAGAGTGGCTGAAAAAGAAACGAACCAAGGTTTTGCAATGCTCCACTCAAAGACCTCAATCTGACTGAAATGCTGTGACACGCTGTTGAGAGAGTTTAACTAAACTCAATGAAAGGAAGTTACGTCAAAAAATCCTCCACACCGATGTGAGAGACTGATACAGTCATACAGCTATTAACGCTAAAAATGCTTCTAGAACAGGGGTGGGCAACTCCAGGCCTCGAGGGCCGGTGTCCCTGCAGGTTTTAGATGTGTCCTTGAACCAACACAGCTGATTTAAATGGCTAAATTAGCTCCTCAACATGTCCTGAAGTTCTCCAGAGGCCTGGTAATGAACTAATCATGTGATTCAGGTGTGTTGACCCAAGGTGAGATCTAAAACCTGCAGGACACCGGCCCTCGGGGCCTGGAATTGCCCACCCCTGTTCTAGAAGATGCTGAATCATGCTGTGAGCTCATGCACTGTTTCTGCATTCTGGCTTATATGAATAATTAGATGGTGAAATCTGTCGTGTGTTACTGTTCATCCAGGTGATATTATCAGACCTGGTGAGGACCAGATTATTTTTATTGTGTTATTATATGTAAAATCATGACAGATGATGCCAGCGTGTGATTTAGCTTTGTTGACGTAGCTGATGTACCGTACTGTACGTACCTTGAATTTTAAAAAAAATCACAAAATTAAAAGATTTGCTCTGTGAATTTAGATGAACCAACAAATCTTATCCCAGAATTTTTCACCCATGTAAAAAATGTTGACACCCCTCAACAATGTTTTGGGCTTCCCCTGACTGCACACCAGGCATGTAGTCACTCCCAGATCCATTTACAATCACAGTCCATTCAAATACTCCCAGAAATACGTTTCAAAAGTTACCTGAAACATGTTTAACTGTTTCAGAATACAAAATAATATATAATGTGGTGTGTAAGTGGACTGGACCACTTACATGAGCATGAAAATACAATGAAAATAAAGCGTTGTGAGGCTGTGAATAAACTGAATTAAGGTTATGAAGGTAACAATGGATGATTTTGAAAAAAGTGTAAAATTACACGCAGGTATGTATATTTGAGTTTAAAAAAGCTGATCTAATTGACTTCAGGGGCACACGTCTGGCATTAATTTAAAAATATTTCAGGGGTCACTTTGGGTCGTACTGTGAAAAACACTGACGGCATTAATTCAGCAGATTAATATACATGAAACTGACCTTTGGTGAAACTAAAGAAACACAGAACACGGAGACAGATAATGCTGCCAGGCAAACACCGTTCAAGTCCACCAAGAAACGAACACAAAAGAGTTCAGGCATATCTGTGGCACTTCAACAAAAGAGGTAAAACTGTTTCTGTAGACTCGTCGCACCTGTTAATAAATTACTTTCTCATTTCGTACTTTATTTTTCCCTGAAACACAATAAAAGCAGGACAGAGTGCAGCTGATAACAGCCTCCGAGGAGCAGACAGGCCTGTCACGCCTCTTCCTCCCTCCTGGCGTTATTTCATGCTTCATAAGAGCCGCAATGAATGTGAGGTGAAAGGCATCCTGGGTGTTTGTGACAGGTGGTTAAAGTCAGTCAGCTGCTAGACGACACCTGGAGTAGAAATTAACAAACAACCTGCAGCTAACGACGAAGAGGAGGAGGAGAATGAAGATGCTGTGATACTGTGTTGACTCTGCCAGGAAGTTCTTTCCATATATATATATATATATATATATATATATATATATATACACGTCACCTACAAATCAAAAGGTTGGTAGTTCATTCCCTGGCTGCTCTAGTCCAAAGTATCCTCAGGCAACATAGCGAACCCCCGAGATGCTGCCGTCTAAGAGAGCACGTAGAGCACAGGTGTCGAACTCCAGGCCTCGAGGGCCGGTGTCCTGCAGGTTTTGGATGTGTCCTTGATCCAACGCAGCTGATTTAAATGGCTAAAATACCTCCTCAACATGTCTCAAAGTTCTCCAGAGGCCTGATAATGAACTAATCATTTGATTCAGGTGTGTTGACCCAGGGTGAGATCTAAAACCTGCAGGACACTGGCCCTCGGGGCCTGGAGTTCAACACCTCTGACGTAGAGGCAGAAAATAAATGCTTGTGTAAATGTGTGAATGAGATGCGTTGTATAAAGCGCTGTGAGTACTGACGTAGAGTAAATAATAATTAAGACAACAGATTTTAATGGAAATCTGTGGGTGGCATCTGGAAGTAGCAGGGCTTCTTCCCAGACTTTTGTCCTGATCATCCCCAATCTGTAAGTTTTCCGCACACACCACATTCGACCTCGTGTCTGCAGCAGTAAGGGGGTCTCCTGTTCTTTAATCAGTTAAAGGGTTTTTGTAAATATCACAGATTTTAAATGGAAAAAAATGTATGTAGCCTCTGTGACACCATCCTTTGTTTCTGGACACCACAGTTTGATTGGTGATTTATTTCAAACATGTAAACAATATACAGGTACATTTAGAAAAGAAAATAAGAGAGAAAAAAAAATACTATACCAAAAAAATCAATACATTTCAATATAGCTCCCGTTCTGATTAATTTACATGTTGAAAGGGGTTTAAAACTGTGTTTGTGGTTCGGCTCCATCATGTTAATTTTTTTATTAGAAATATGTTTGGACATGAGGCTGTCGGCTAATAGCAAGCTGTATCTATAAGATGTACAGGCGACATGCACAGATGTGCTACTTAGTGCTACGTCAGAGACGAGTAACACACGAGGATTTCACTCGCTAAAACTGGAGCACAGACTTCTTAAACAGGCCGTATCACACAGGCAGGCATAAACCTTATTATATGGTAAATGGTAAATGGCCTGTATTTATATAGCGCTTTACTAGTCCCTAAGGACCCCAAAGCGCTTTACATATCCAGTCATCCACCCATTCGCACACACATTCACACACTGGTGATGGCAGCTACATTGTAGCCACAGCCGCCCTGGGGTGCACTGACAGAGGCGAGGCTGCCGGACACTGGCGCCACCGGGCCCTCTGACCACCACCAGTAGGCAACGGGTGAAGTGTCTTACCCAAGGACACAACGACCGAGACTGTGAGAGACTCAGGTAATTCTGTGAACACGTCCTGCTGAGGTTTCAAATCAGCACTAACAGCTGATTAGTGCTAACAGGAGCAGGTCAGAGGAGATATACTCGCTTGTGTGTTTTTGTGCCTAACAAACAGTGCAGTCTGTCTCCACTTCTGTCCCTGCATTCAGCTGTAAACACCTTCATTTGAAAATCCCATCTTCTCGTCTATAGCAGTGTTTAGAGGTAAACACACCTACTATACATTGTTAATGACTGAGTAATGTGAGGGTGACAATATGTCGAATTCTAAATATTAATTTGTAAGTAATGAAATTTGAAATTAGGGGGTAGGAACAGGAAAAGTGTAAACTTCATCCTACTCCTTTTTGAGCATAGACATTGTGTAGACAGAGATATTCATGAAAACGTGTTTTTAAGTTTTTTTCTTATTTTTTTCTTGTTATTTCAGTTATATTTGCATGTTCGAAATAAAATCTAACCGTCTAGGTAACAGAAAAACTGTTAGCCATGGATGGATAGAACAAACTATCCATCTAAGAAGACGTTGGCAGTGTTTGGTGAACCAGACAAACTTTTAGTTTTAGATTTGTGTTGAGTCTTGACCTCAACAAAAGACGGCGATAAACATCAAAACAGGGAGAGAGAATTTCTGCAGACTGAACTGTCTTCGGAGCCTCCTGTTTCTATCCTCCCAAACATTTGGTTCAGACCTCCAGGTGTCATGTGAGAGCTTCACATCGTAACTTTGGACTTTTTTCTGTGAGGTTTCTTTGTACTAGTACTCCCTGATTGTGCTCCCCTGCTGAGCTGCGATGGATGTGCTAAAATAGCCTAAAGATACAGAAACCTTGGAACATTCCCACCTCAACTGCCTTAACTGCTAACGGCTTAACATGTCTTCCTAGTTTTAATGTACAATGAGGACTGACAATTTTTGAAATTCACAAAAATGTAACCAACGCCTCAATCTGTGTAACAGGAAGTTGTAAACCAGTATGACAAGATGCTGTACTAGAATCTGTCAGCTTACTCTCAGCCTTCATGCATTTGTTCAGCAACGTGTGACCAGAATCTGCATTAACAAATACGAGGAAAGAAGGAAACTGGTGCAAGCTTAGCTAACATTAGCTGGATTCTGTAAACTCGACCAACATCGTCTTTGTGTGATTATATCACCACATGTAGTTGCACACAGCAGTGTTTAAAACCGTGTTTGATTACTGACGACTGTGACTGTGAATTTGGGACTCTGTGTAAAACATAAATAAAAGCAATGCTTTGAAAAATCTCATAAACCCATATTCTATTCACAATAAAACATATATGCTTATACTCAGACATTTCACTATTACATTAAATATATTAGTTCATTTTGACTTTAATGGCAGCACCATGTCGCAAAAAAGTTGGAAAAGAGGCTGGAAAAGTAAAGTGGTGCCAAAAACGAACAGCTGAAAGAACATCGTGAACTAACTAAAGAGTTACGTCCAGCTCGTCATCAGCACTCAGTTCAAAAGCCTGAAACTCTGACGGTATGGTGGTTGAACATGTGGAAAGGTACCACCAGTGCTGAACGGTACATACAGGTTGTGCCCGTGCAGACAGCATCTGTCACAGGAGAGGCCTTGCACATTTCAACAAGACAATGCTAAATCATATACTGGAGCTAATCCAACAGCACAGCTTCATGGCTCGCTGCAGTCCAGACCTTTCACAAACAGAAACACCATTAAGTGAAATTTATGACAAATAAGACCACGGACAGCTGAGCAGCTGGATTCCTCTCAGATAACAGTGGAATATTATTCCCCTCCCAAAAGTCCAGCAAATCGTTGCATTCATTTATTCACTTTTTAAGGTGTTCCAACTTTTAAGGAAGGGGGTTAGTATTTCCTCTGTTTATTGGACGAGTCGGGAACAATGTGGTCCCACCTTTATGCTTTACAATCCCTCAGAAACAAGTAAAAACCTGCTTTATTTGGACAATATAAGCAAACCCATCTCCTCTTATTCCAGCTTTTGCAAAACTGATTGGTGTCGCAGCAAAAAGTGTGCACAGCTCACCATCTTGACATGATGATACTGAGCACAAATCTCACAGCTTATCCACCCTAATCTGTCTCTTTCCTCTGAACATCAGTCCTCTCCTCTCTCACTCTTATATCAATGCAAGGGGTTAAAACGCTACAGCAGCACCGAGGATCACTGAAATAAAATAAATCAAAGCACAAACTCCAGCGTCTGTGAGCCTTTTAGACAAAGAAGAACTGACTCTTTCTCCTTTCCTATGAACTACTCATTTCACAGTCTGATACAAAGATCTATAAAGCCCTTTTGTGTGTTGCAAAATACAATACAAGCACTACAAACATGTTTTCTTGCATTTCAGCAATGCATCTGTTAATTCAAATGTACATTATTTGATACTGATTTTGTGTTGAAACACAGCTGCATGCAAATATTGCAGGGAGGCTTTTCCAAGCAGAACAGATACTAGGACAGTCCTCGGGGTAAAAGACATTTATTCTTCTAAGATGATTCCTGCAGTTACAATGAATTCATTGCACCATGAATTTGCTCTATTCATACAAAAACAGACAAACTCGACTTTGATTTAAAAGGGTTTCTCTCCCGCTGCACCAAAATAAACGTACTTTTTTTTTATTACCATGTTTTATCTTTTAAAGTTACAGAGAAGAAGGTTTAAAAATGTATTCGTAGTCACATGTGTATTTATACACACCTATTTAAAAGGTGTATTAACCCATGTCCCTCACTGGTTAGAGAAAATCCTGTTGTGAAACGTCAGTATGACGATTTTGGCGTTTTGTATCATGGCAATCTAGGGCAGACCAAGATGCACTGCATGCTAATACCTCTCAATCCCATAATAAATCACGACCAGGCCAAAAGTCAGCATTTATAAAATGGGAGGAAAAATCAGTGACAAAATAGCTAAAACACTACATCTAACTTATAGCTTATTTATATCAGTACCACTCAATCAAAAAGTGCAGATTCTTAAAAAATATTGGAATTAGATCCACTTTTAATGTAGAGAGCTCTCTGTGCCAGTGAAACAGGCCATCCTCAGGCTACGAACAAAAAACAAATGCACTAGAGCGATCGCAGCAACATTAAGAGACGTCAAATTTAAAGCTTGATGAGACAAGAAAAAGAAGAATGTGCCGAGGAGCGATGCAACATAAAACAGACCTAGAGCGGTGGATGATCGCAGGATCCTTTCCATGGTAGATAACAAAAGCATTTCTACATGAGGAAGACATATATTTACCCAAGCCTGCCATCCAAGAAAGACTTTACAGTACAGGGAACAATCTGATATCCAACATATTAGTGCATAATCTGCAAACCAGTGATCACTCTCGAAATTAGAAACCAGAATGAATTTTAAAAAAATAAATTAAAAAGCTCTGGCACTGTTACTTAGAGAAATCAAAGTAAGACAGGAAGATCAATCTATTGCATGGACATGCATGGCTTCCAGCTTCCAGTGAGTCAGTGGACTGACCAAAAACATACTGTAAAAGCAACACAGGAGTCTTTGATGGAAAACAAGTGGTCTGATCTGAAATCAACTGAACTACTGTTCACCTATTTAAGGTAAAACTAAAGGCATAAACAACTGATGACAGCTGCAGTAAAAGCCTTTCCCTACAACAAGGAGCTTTGTTAAAAAGAAAGGACAGTAGAAGAAGACAGCACCTGATGGTTTTGATCATGCTGAGGCCCATTTCCACGCAGCAGTGGGCGTGGTCCGGCCTAGGCTCCGGCAGACCAGACACACAGTAGTAACAGTCTCCAAGGATCTTTATTCGTAGACAGTGATGCTCCTGAAACAGACAAACACCATAACCATAAAGGCAGAAAACCTAAGCAATGACTATACCTGAAATAAGAATTAAAGATCAGTAGAAATTAGAAAAAAAAGGAAAACACAGAAAACATATCAGGTTATCTCTGAATTCCTTCTCTGACTGTGAAATTGCGACCGCCCAAGCGTGACAGTCTGAAATGTTCTGCAATCTAATATCAGCTGAGTCGTACACAGTGGATGTTGAATCAGATATTCACTGTGTTGTTTTGAATAAATATTTATTCTACTGGAGCGTCTTTATTCAGTTTTCATGAGTCCCGACAGCCATGAGAGGCTGTCGCAGAAGAGATGAGCTCTGGGCTCCAAAATCATACACGCACAATCAAACAATGTGGAAAAAGAAGAGCTGCAAAGTCTATTCTTATGCTTCATTTTCAGTAATTATTTTTATACAACTGGGAAAATAGTTTTTAGTGATAGCCTGCCACACAGAAGCAAAAATTAAAGAGTTTATGTTACCATTTATGGTGTATGTGCATGTATTTTTAACCAGCATCTTGAATGGTACACTCTATTGCCAGAAGGTGGCAGTAAAGGAGCTGAGAAGCTATCTTTGCAATTCCTTACCAGCTAGCTAGCAAGATGCAAGTCTGCCACAACAATGCAGCTTATTGCAGCTGCATTTATAGAACTCTTTAGCATTTAGCAAGGTTAATATACTACAATAACAAAGAGAGAACCCCAACGATCACATGATCCCCACGAGCGACACCTGGCGACGCTGTGGAAAAACACCTCCCTCATCCACAGTGACATCCTCAGAGTTTGCTTTCACTTAACCATAAAGCAAGTGTTCACAAACTATATATTGGGAAAAGTGTTTCAATCTAAATATTGATTGAACATTATAGGATCTATGAGATTATCAGTTTAAACTGGTCGCCTTTAAAGCTGACTTTCACTAAACAGTTCTATCTAACACAGTTTACCAAATATTTGAACAAAATTTGAGTCCCATCGTACAAAAAGTCTCCACATAATCAGCCATAAGTCATAAGATCAGGTGATGTAGTGTTTGACAGATGTGGCCCGTGGCTGAGGTGAGGCATCCAGACTCACCCTGAGTCAACGCTATGAGTCAACACACAACATTACAAATGTTGGCCAAGCTGGCGTTGCTGTTTGGGCCATTTTCAGAGGAGGTTCATAAGATAAGTGAAAGTAAATCAAAAGTTAACCACAGACAGGTAATCAGCTGTTAGGTAAAGGTTATTAACCTGATCCAGAACACACTGTTCCTGGATCTGCTAAGAGGTATCTCTAAAGAAATGTGATTTATTAATCCTTTAATGCACAGATGAGCGAATATTTTTAATGGGAAAATAAATTGATTCAAATCTCAAGACTAAAATCAGATTATATGCACATATGCATTTGGGATGAGAAGCTCTTACATGTGCGAGGCGGTCGAAGCGTGCAAAGAGTTCATTCAACATTCGCACCAGCTCCTGCGCTGACAGCGTCGTGGAGAGGTTTGTGAAGCCTTTAACATCTGCGAAAAGAATGCTGAATAAAATACGGAAATGTCACTTTAATATCCAGCTCACTTCTTAAAAGTTATGATACTTAATGAGGATGACATTTTCTGTGATGTCAGATTTTGCACATTTTACGTAAATGTCACAGTTTTGTTCTTAAGAGCAAAAACTCTCAAATGTCTTTAATCGGGGCACACACAGGTGTTTTGCTGTTGGACCCTCACCTGACATTCTCGTAGCGGTGGATGTAGATTCTGTGAAACTGATGCTGGAGGTGTTCGTCCTCTACATTTGTCATGTCGTTGATCATTTCCAAAACTACAAAACGAGGCAGGACTGATAACACCAGTCGTTCCTGTTGGGGAGAAAAATGAATCATCTCATCGCTTTGAAATGACAAAAAGACACAATACAGAACAATAACATAACATCTGCATATACCGACAAATCACAATGTGTTAAAAAAAACATTGACTATTGAACTGTTTTTGTGATTGGCACTTCCATCCGTTAATTTGTCCACAGGGAGCAGACTAAGCAGAGGTGTTCAGATCTTCCTCTCCCCTGATGCCTCCCCCAGGTCTTTCAGGAGGACTCTGATGCTTTCCTAAGACAGACGAGACACTTCATCTGTCAGCTGTCATGCCTCGGGTCTGCCTGGGGTCTCCTCCCAGTAGGAGCTACTCAGAGCCTCCTGAATGATCAAGCTCCTCACCCTGTGTCTACGGCTGACCCCAGTCACCTCTCAGGAGAAGCTCACCAACACTGCTATCTGCGCTCCTATTTCTTCTGTCACCACCCACAGCTCGTGACCAAAGGTGAGGCCAGCATTGTTCACAGGCCGGTACATCAACAGCTTCAGCTTCACAGTCAGCTGCTTGAATAACAACAAATATCTGAATTCTACTTGAAGCCTTCAAATCCAGAGTGGACGGTCTTTTCTGAGCGAACCGGGTCCTCGGATTTAAAGGCGCTAATTCTCATTCCAGCCACTTCACACTCTGCTGTAAACAACCCTCGTAAAAGCACGAGGCCATCACCCCATGAACCACAACTTTGAGTTTTATTAGCTCAAACCTAACAGTCCAACACACTCCTGCAGCAGTTTATAGGCAAAGGTTTGTCCTGGGATCTCCCCAACCTTACACGGCAACATATGGAAAACAGGAAGTGCTGAGCCATCAGCTGATGTCAGCTTGCACTGAGATGAACGCTGATCAGTGTGAGTTCTTCTAGTACAGCAGCATCTACGTCCAGAAACACAGGAAGGAAGGTAAACTCTTCACATCATTACTTTAGATTGTTTCACTTTTAAACTAAATGCTTTGAACTACAGCTAAAAAGTGGAAACAGCCTTTTTTTATGGATAAATTCAAAAACTATGTTTGATGTATATAAATGTTTCAATAATAAACGAGAGAACATCAACAGTAAATTATCGAAGGAACAGAAATAAAGCCTTTAAAAAGAAATTACACGAGGGGCTGTGTGTGTGAGAAATGAATTAAAAAAGATGGCTTGAGCTCTGCCAGCCTAAGCTCCTCGAGCAGGATCCTCCAAAGCCTCTGCGCTCGCAGGAACATCACAATTAAAAGAGTTTGTGTTGTGATTTTTGTACTGACACGGTGCCACTTGGCTAAAGCAGAAACAGATTTGGAGTGGGAGCGATGCAGCATCCCTCAGGATTCTTTTGGCCTCGGGGAGCCGCACCAGAGCCAAGCAACTGCTTCTTTCAGATACTGAATACATTAGAACCAACCAGAACGTCACGTACAGTGACATCAGTACACGGCACGCACATGCTCAAAAGCCCTGCAGGTTTTTTGGAATATTTTACGCCAAAGGGATGACAGAGGGACAAGTCTAATAGCTGGAAAGGCTCCGAACGAACCAGCTGGCCCTGTTCTACATCTTAAAGACTCACTGTTTAAAAACACGAGAGGAAATCTGCACGAGGCGGGAGATTAGTTTTGCTCCCAATCTGATAAACAAGTTGAAAGAAATTTTGCACAGAATTTTGACATTAGAGCGGCGATCTGCCTTTTATTCTCTCTGGTGTGTCTTCTGGTGAGATTTTCACTGGAATGAATTTGTGATAGAGACTAAAGTGATATTCCATTTGAAGAGCTGTAAATCTTGAAGACAACATGATGGTTGCACGTGGGCACATCATGTTCTTTCATTACCATGAATGCACACTGTGCTTCACTATGACTCAGCCCCACATACAGCACTCTGCTGTTGGAATTACTCACCAAAGAGCTCCAAATATGGATTAATCCGCAACTGCAAACAGTTCCCAAAAACTCTACGACTTGAAACACGGGCTGAGGGAAAATATATTTATATTTGATTAGATACATTCAAATACGCCAGGATACTACGAATAACGGGGCTGCAAGGTCGCATGATAGGAGGCGACCTTTCTCTAAGTGGCTGCAGTCACGCTTGGAAAGATTGTAAAAGGTTTGCAAATAATTGGTGTTTAATTTATAAATGAGCACAAATGTTTCCATCAGTCTGAATGATTCAGTCTATGAGCTCAACATGAGGGGACTCAACTGGCTGCCAGCTGGTTGTATTCTGGTTTATATTCCTATAGAACAGGAAGGCTGTGAAGTGCAAATGTAATAGTTAAATGTCAATTTCTGTTAAATTTCAATTTCTGTCTATTTAGACGGAAGCAGATATGTGATTTTCAATGATTTATCACTGTATTTGCTGTATTATCAGAAACAGATTGCGTATAATTGCTGGCTTGACCACATTCAATCACAGACTGATAACAGACCGACTCCGTTTTATGGCAACATTTGTTGGTTTTAGTGACAATGTTGCCATTCTTGATAATCTCATTTGGCACCAAAAAGAAAACACTGAAGTGAGGTAACTTTATCTTATTGGATAAAACAGGTTTTGATACATTTTAACTTTGAGGATGTAATTTGCAGTAAAAAAAAAAAAAGGTGATAAATTGCAATATATTTTAGTCCAAATACTCAGCATATTGCAAAATGTAACAAATCACACTAATATTGACAGAGTCAAGTATTGTTTTAATATTGTATCGTGAGGTGTCTGGTGATTCCCACCTCGACGTTACACTAGATCGTCTATAATTCTCTGAGAACATTTGCTGTCATCAGCTTGCACGGTTCCTCTGCAGTCACAACTGTAAGACAGCACACTTGTTTTTCTTCCCTGCTTGGCTCACAGATGAGTTTTCCAGTAAGAAATAAAAATGCAACCTCATGTGCACTCAGTGAAGCTGCATGATGCTGTCTGAGAGCCCTGGAGAGCCTCTTCAGACCCCGAGCACAAGTGCAAAGAGAGGCTGGCTGAGGCTGGATAATAGCAATGAGACGCACAGAGAGAGGGAGATAGCGACACCGTCCTCTGCTGCGATCACAGCAATGACAACAGTTCCATCGTTGCTGTAGAAAGAGATGTAAATAATGAAGCAGCGGTTATACAAAGATTGTCATCTAATACGTAAAAACAAGCATCAGAGCAAATTCTAACATAAAAATCACCACAATCAGAATAAAGAAAACCATCAAAATATCATGAACTCTAATCATTTTGAACCTTAACATACGATAAAAAAAGTTGGTCCAGAGGAGGGAAAATGCCAGTCCACATCAGCTGTTAGCTTAGCTGATACACATCCAAACGGTACATCTCTATGGAAAATAATGTACATGTTATCCTAGCAGTCCCCACGTTTGTGCATCTGCAAGCCACTTTGAAACCCACATCCATCCAAGCTCCCAGCTAATCACTGTTTCATCTGTTGTCATGGAAACCTGTTCACATCTAATCAGGTGGTCTTCCTGTTGCATTGATTTAATACCTTAATCAAAAAATTACTCTTCAACAATTCTTTATTTCTTTTCATCTTTTTTATGACACTTTACAACTGTCGTCTTCATGATAACAAACTTTTAAAACTGGGGTATCGTACTCGTCTTAGCTCATAAGTGGGCTGGACCAGTGAAACCAGTGCATAACGGTGCACAGAACACACCTCATACTTTACATTGTAGCCTCCCAGCATACAGTGAGCTGTACCAGCACCCCGAACAATACTTTTTATTTACATAACTAATCACCCTGACACAGTTCAGAGGGGAAAGTCCTGAGTGGACCCAACAGCAAAGCACTGACAGTTGTTAATGTTATGTAGTATTTTTTGCAAGCTTATGGCTGCAGTGGCAGAAAAAAACAAGCTAACTAAACCAAACCTGAAGAGCAGCTGAAGTATCCAGAGGTAAACACTCACACACACAATCAGCAGAAGCTGATTGGACAGCTCATCTCTCTGACACACCACTGTGGACGTGACCATCAGCTGAGTGTGAAATGTGTAAGAGGAGAGCAGGTGCTTGTGTTGTTGAGCACGCACCGCCCCCTGCTCTCGGCACGCCTCTGTTGTGCTGTTGTTTTTGTTGTGTTGGTGTCTGTGCTGGAAAGCAGAGCAGTGCATCCACAAATTGAGGTCTAGACAGACAAACATTTCAGTGAAGCGTTGCTAATTCTTCGGCTGCTGCGTCGCAACCAAACGCCCCGGGCTTTGGTGGTGGAGTCTCACTGCAAGAAATGTGGATTTTACAGAGTCGTCCTGAATTCAGACTGAACCTTTGAACCCTGCAATGTGTCTGTGCTGCTCAATCACACGTCAGCCAAACTCCTGCTGCAATCACACAAGGAGCTCCATTTGAGCAAATAGTACCGCTTCCTGTCGCAGTACTCTGGGATAAAATATTACAATATAAATTCTATTAACTACATTATGTTTTGGAAACTCTATCAGCAGCTCTTCTCCCTCTCTTAACTCCTTTTGCCATCAAGACAGTAATCTTAGTTCCCATGTTAAACATAAACAAAAGAAATCTGCTGAAATTTTCAACTTAAGTGGAATTTCCAAAGACAGCATACGTATGCTGAATTTAGGTATTTTAGCATCACTAATTAACCTAACCTTGGACTGTGGGAGGAGGCGGGAGGTACCTGGGGAGACCCACACAGGCACAGTGACAACATGCAAACTCCACAAAGGCCGCTCATTTACAGTATTTGTACCCGGTTAATAAAGGTAAAGTAAATTTACAGGAGACAGACTTTGACATATATTCATCAAAGTACTCTGTGGCAAATAACTGAGCAATATAATCAGCCACCTCTCCTGTTAATCCTTATCCTGCAGATAATCTTGCAGCTGGTGTGAGATTATCTGGAGGATAAGTAGGAAAAAAATAAGGAAGGCTATCTGATTAGCAGTGACTGATCTTTCCAAATAAGAGCAAGGGGGTTTTGAAATAGTAAATGAATTGAGAATGCCGCAGTCATCTCAGACACATAACAAAATGTTAGAAATGCTAAAATCTTGTGTGTGGACAGGGGACTGCAGAGTGTTTGCTCCACTGGACAGGGACCCTGGTTTGGACAGCTGAGAGCCAGCGGACTCAATGTCAGATCAGCTTTGAAAGTCATTAGTGAAGCTTGATTTTAGCTGAAAGCTGAAGCCCTCCAGCAGCTCACTGACAACGTCTGTCTTCATTCAGACTGTACCAAAGATCCACATGGACCTTGTGGTGGATTTTCAATGTAAAGGCTAATTTATAGGGCAGCACGGTGGCACGGTGGTTAGCACTGTTGCCGCACAGCAAGAAGGTCCTGAGTTCAATTCCACCATCAGGCCGGGGTCTTTCTGTGTGGAGTTTGCATGTTCTCCCCGTGTTTGCGTGGGTTCTCTCCGGGTACTCTGGCTTCCTCCCACCATCCAAAGACATGCAACTTGTGGGGATAGGTTAATTGGATAATCCAAATTGCCACTAGGTGTGAATGTGAGTGCGAATGGTTGTTTGTCCCTGTGTGTTAGCCCTGCGACAGACTGGCGACCTGTCCAGGGTGTACCCTGCCTCTCGCCCTATGACAGCTGGGATAGGCTCCAGCGCCCCCCGCGACCCTGAAAAGGATAAGCGGAAGCGAATGGATGGAGGCTAATTTTGAGTTCATCTGTATTATAACCTGCTTATTACTGCTTCATTAATACTCTTTTTCTTTAGAGTTATTACACTGCAGCTGTCAGGGAAACATCCTTTCATTACTCTTGTCAGGAACAGAAAAATATTTTTTAGACAGCCAAATGTTAAGCTTTCATTTTTGAGGATCTGATGTTGTCCAATGTTTGCTAAACTAAAACTCTAGCAGTGCACCAGTCAGCAAACACCATCTGCATGTCTTAAACATTTGTGAACCCTAATGCAAGACTCAGGAAACAAGAATGAACATTAAGCATTCTCAATGCTTAAAGAATAATGATTCTTTAAGTCCAGAAAATCACAAAGTCCAGAAAGTGTTTACAAAGCGCTAAGGCACAGACGCTACAACGCTGACGTAACAAATGACAAGGGAAGCGACAGGAAACAATAACAGAACCCTAATCCAAAGGTAACCTAAAATTCAAAACGAATCCTTCTAAACTCAAAACCTTATGCGGTGTTCACTGTTTACTGATCAACAACAGGAAGTTTGTGAGTTATCTAAAAATATAGATATTGGTTTTCTGCTTGCAGCAGTATGATCCAATCTTCAGTTCAGTTCGATTCAGGTTTATTTATATAGCACCAAATCACAACAGCAGTCGCCTCAAAGAGCGCTATAATGAAGACCCTACAGTATTCTGGAGAGATGCTGTAACCAGAAATGTGCCACTATGTTCCTGGAACACATTAACAGAAATAACAGAGCCTGATTGGATGTCATTACACTGTTCTTTTCAGGGGCGGGGCCCTGCTTACTCCATTACAGCCAGCCCAGAGCCTTCCAGGAAACATGACCACTGTAAAAGCTTTCTGTGGCTTCTCAGAGCTTCACTGTCCACTCCAGCGCATACACAACACTATCTGCCACTGTGTGTGTGTGTGTGTGTGTGTGTGTGTGTGTGTGTGTGTGTGTGTTTGCTTATGTGTGCGTGCCTTCTGTTTGTCTGACTCACAGCGCGTGTGTTGTCTTATTAGATTGTGTGTTAAGTGTGTGTGGAGCAGGGGCTGCATGCACAGAGACACAGTATGTGTGACAGCATTGAATCAATGCAGCGTCCATGTTTTTCTGCTCTCAGAGGACTCGTTAGCGGTGCTGCTAACACTCGGCCCTGTTAGCTAAAATCCATAATTTGTTTTGATTCTTTTTTTAAAGTCGCCTCACGCTGAGCTTCAGCATCAAGCAGCAGAGGGTGAAAATGTGCACTTCACACATCATTCTGCTGTAAATTAGAGGATTTCGTTGCTGCTGTGGTGCACCAGTGGTTTGTGAAGGTCATTTAGAGGTCACTGCCCAATATCTCTCACTGGAGTTCAAACAGGGGTCAACCTGAAATAGTTTCAGCAGCGGCGTATGAACTCTCACTGAGCAAACAGCACTTAAACAAGTCTACAAGGAGCATTTAGCATGCTAGCCATGCACACAATAGCAAGTGCTAGCATGTTGACGGTATTGAGGTACGATTTGCTCACATTTAGAATGCATATAAACCACCATGATGGATTCTCAACACTTCCAATACTTCAACCACAGATTCAGAATTTGTCTGATGTGGTGATGGTGTGCATCAGCTCGAGCACAGGCCGGAGACACGGGATTAGAAATGAGTACAGCAGAGGGACAGTTTGAGCAGTTTGGAAATGAAGTCAGAGAGCCGAGACTGAGATGGTTTGGACATGTGCAGATGAGGGATAGTGGATATGTTGGGCAAAGCATACCGACAATGGAGCTGCAGGGCAGGACAGAAAGAGGAAGACATCAGAGACGATTCAGGAGGACATGCAGAAGTTCAGAGGTCGTTAAACTGAGCAAACAGCCTGAGTTTAATCCTGGGTGTCCTGAATATCTGAGCCAAACTGTGTTCCAGTCCATCCAGATTGTAAAGCAAGCATTTTGACCTGGTGGTGATACTAAAGGAGTGCAAACAGCTGTCCCTACAGCCCTGCTGCTAGCACTCACACAAATCTTCAAACCTGGCTCTGAACACGCATCCTAAACTTGCTTTCATTCGTTAAGTGTCTTGTGAAAACACACAGAAAAATTTAACTGCTGCAAATGTATTAAACAGAACACAGCACAGACAGTGACTAACAAATCATCCGAAGCTTGAAAAGTTGCAGGAGGCAAAAAAAACTTGTCTGCGGCTCACCTGTCTCTGGTTCTCTGTCTCGAGTCGCAGCCGAGCTTCGATGCAGCGCCGCGTCTCGAGGAAGGCCTGACGCTGAGCACGGTCAGACAGGTAACTGATGAATATCCCAGCAGTGTTCATGCACATGAACAACACTGCCTGAGCTGCTATCTAGAACACACAAAAAGAGAGGATTAGGAGATTTGCTTGTTGACACATTTTGGAGTGCAAGAACCAACATTCAAAGCTTCTTTGTTTATATTTACAAATATTCTGAGGCAATTTTATGTCTTTATTAATTAGGCTGAAAAGGGGGAAACATCTGCACAATATTTTTCTCCAACTAAATATTTAATTCTAAAAATATTTATGAAAAGAAACATTTCAATTTGTAAGATCTTCATCAAGCATTTATCAAAGAGAAAAAAAGAGCATCTTTTCAAATCAGTGCAAAACAAATATCAGGGAAAAATCACAACAGACTTTAAAGCAGTTTGTAACACAAAATACAAACTATCATCTTATATCGATTATCTTTGTATTCAACACAACAACATTGAGGAAAATCTTCAGCTTTTTGCCCTATTCATCTAAAAAATAAGAGGCTCAAAAGCAAATTTAAAAAGATTGCAACGAGAAAATCTAATCCTTAATAACAACTAGAAGAACTTTATCATTAAAAGTTTTTCCTGGAGAAACTTCAATCCCAATATTAGTGAGGACGTTTCATAAACGAGACCTGTCGGCTGCCAAGTATAAATAAAGTGTATGACTGTAGAAATAAGTGACGTCATCACTGATGCGTCTCACAGTAGATCGGTTACATTTAGCAATGCAAGTTTTCAACCATCTCTGAGTTTTTCCAACATAGGAAAAACCACGTGGGACTTTTAATTACTGTGACTAAAGAAATCACTGAAAGGAAGTTGTGCACATTGGTATCTGCCATTTAATTTTTTAAATTGTAACAATAACTAGAAATATATAGACGAGAGAGAGAGAGAGAGAGAGAGAGAGAGGAGGGGGGGTGGAGGCCGACATTCAACAGAGGAACCCTGCTGATCTCCAGCTGTGCGATCGGGGAGGGGGTCCTACCGGCATCACACTGGAAGTCACATGAGATTATTTTCACACAGAACAAAATGGTCCTTTACAAATGTGCCACCGTAGCCTGACGAGTCCACAGGTACTGAAGGCTAACATGTGGAACTGCATGGAAACTGACAAACTCAATGAAATGAATTCAGATCAAAGCTTTAAGTAAATCAATAACACTGTGACGTCCCTGTCGCATCGAGTTGGTTTTCTATGGTTTTTCTGTTCCGTGTCTTTTTCTCCACTTGGTTATCTTGTGCTCACTTCCCTTTTTTTGCACCTTATTTGATTTTTTTTCTTGCCAACTTTTTGCAGCAGGTCCATATTTTTCTTTTTGAGACGCATTTTACAGCTTTATCTGAAATGCATTTTTTAAAATAAATCACTTTAGCAAAAAGTTATATGAAGAGCTGTACAGAGGACGCCATGACCTCAGAGTACTTTAAGATGCATACATAGTACTCAATAAAATATGATGGCCCGAGGTGATGTGACACGATGAAAGGATTGTTTGCTCGCTGCAGTCCCCGTGGTGTAATCTGAAGAGTTGTGACGGTGCTGCAAACTGTCACAATCTCCCTTTATGTTTGTGGTGATATGTTACACAGTCTGTCACTTATTTTTACCATTAGAGCTGGATGTGACCCAGGAGCAGCATCGAGACTTCATGCAGTTATAAACTGAGAGAGGCACATACAGTGAGATGGTTTAAAGGCCTTGTAGGCTGGAGAGTTTGAAGGGATTTGACGTCACACTGACGTCTGTCATGGGCAAGAAATCAAATCAGTGAGGGGAAGTCCAGAAAAACTGCAGGAGCGCTGTCAGGTTTAGTTTTCAGTCACAATAACTCGTCTGTCAGAGATCCCTCATTCAAACAACTTTTATCTCACAGTGTACAAATGATTTCTGTTTACAGGGAGCAGAAGCAAAAATAGAGCCACTACTGTAAAAGTTGGTGACAGCCACAGTGATGTCAGCCATTAAGAGCTGAGCACTTTCACTGGCCTCATCTTTAGTGTTTTAAACCATATGTCACTTGTCAGGTGAGCCCAGACAGGTACTGATCATCTGTTACACCAAAGAGCTTTCAACCACCAGTACAAGTCAATGATCTATGACATCTATTTAACAGCAATCAGACCGTCTGGTACTTGAGCAGGTAAGAAAGGTGCTAAAACATTAATTCTGGAATGAGTGAACATTCAAACTCCTGCTTCACATGTACCGATGTCTATTCACCGTCTATGAAGACCTTCTAAGGACTGATAGTTCCATTAGAATAAACTCAAACATGTAATATGTATCAGTAAATTAGGTTTTCGCAGAGACGTTTGTATTCTTTCAAACACTTTAAATACTCTGAGCTCTGAACTGTAAGAGCTTTAGGTTAAGTGCAGGTTAAACCAATGAAGCCAGTCTGACATGTACATTAATTACATCATGACTATGTTTGGATAAAATATGTTTAAGATATAAATACATATTCAAATGAAAGATTTGTAAAATATTATGTTATGTCTATGTTTTATTAGGGCTACATAACAAGATAAGTCAGTATCTTGATTTGGCTATGAAGGAATCCTCGCCTACGTTAGCTTAAAGCACTAATTATTCATTTTTGGCCACTTGGGGGCAGCAGAGAGAACTGATTTGGACTGGCAGGAGATGCATTAATAATAATCATTTGAAATTGTGTTAACCTTCTCTCAATGGGAAAGGTTAACGAGTTCTGCAGAACTGATCGTGCTTCTCTAACTGAACTCTCATCCATTACATAAAGTCTTTGATCCATCCTGATACAAAAATATTGATTCATGCAAACTTTAAAGCACTCTGCTCTGACACCCAACAGCAATCCAGAAATTCAGAACACTGTAAGTCTTTATATGAAAAGCAACTCTGAGTACAGAAATGTGATGATCTGTAACTGGAAAGGGAGCCAAAACTGTAAATTTTCATGTTTCATATTATCCGTGACTGTAATTTAGATTTATGAAGTAATTTCATTGTAAAAACGTATTTAACTATGGAAACAAAAAGCGTACTCGCTGAACAAATGAATCTACCGTTAAGGGAGACTTGAATATAGTCTAAATTAAAAAAAGGAATCCAGAGAGCAGCTGTGTAACATTTAAACTAAACTCAAGCGTCTTCTTTGAAATTTCTGTGAAAGATGACAGTATAAACACTGAAAGCTTTCATCAGCTGTGAGCACATAAAGTGATGTAGGGCTCGGCCCGTTAAAAGCATCGGACGTCGGGCTGATGTAACAGTAAGCAACACGAGCGTGTTCCTGAGCAGCACGAGGGATTTCACCGCCGCCTGACCAGCTTCCTCCTACCTGCTGGAGCTTCACATGATGCAAGCGTTAAAAACACTCACAGAGGAAAACCCTTCACAGCTTTCACCCGACTTCCACAAACAGCTCTTCAAACAGGACAAGGATTTCTACCTGAACTGTTTTGTTTTTTTTATCATACTTCAGTTGGATGACACAGTGTTTATTTGTTGTACTCTCAGAGGGTTTGTGTACATGGGGAGTAATTATAGTCACGGGCAAGTCTGGACAGGACTCGAGCATCTGCTACCCTCTACAGTATCTCTATAAAGGTCACACAGGACGGCTTCTATTTCCTCACACAAAGATTACCATGTAGAGTACCTGCAGGATACTGATAACACCGCTGATCCATAAATCAATATTATTAGCCAGGTTGATGAGATTTGTGCCTTTTAACATCTTCAGACAAATTACCAACTGGAAAAAGTGGTACATCTCCAAGGCCCAGAACTCCAGGATAACGTAATAATGGACTGTATGTAGAAAATGACATTATGTTTCGAGGCCTGTTGCCATTTAGTTTTTGGGTTTTTTTGATGTTTTAAATCAGGGCTGGATGGGACTGAGAGGCTGGCAGACATCCACCATAAGGCCTTAGCCTGGTTTATGATCTGCTTTAACATGATTTAGACTATGGAAACATGCTGTACATGTAAATCATCAGGAACGTGTTTACTGAGGTCATCATCATGCAGGCACATTTTTCTCTATATAGTCTACGGTCTATACAGGTTTTAGCCCTCTGAGCTCATCATCGGGATGACCCCGACATTAAAAGATTCTTTGTTGTGTGTCACTGTGATTATTGTTTTTGTCACCTGACTGGAAAGACTCTTCAAAAATAATCAAAATGACGTATTCCAATAACATCATCGATGACTTCGACCTTTCACGGTTAGCATGGTTCCAGCTTCTTGTGCAATCTCGAGGTCGTCTAAGGTTTGTGTTTATGTGATGTATAGTGTGTGTAGTCCACCTGTCAGGCTCGGCTGTGCGGCAGGCAGGAGTAGGACCCAAAATGCAGGACTCACAGGCACAAGGGAATAAACTCAAAAGGCAGCTTTATTGCGTAACAGAAGATGATAGGCGATACAAAACTAGACTGGGAAAAACTAACATAAAGCTCACCAGGAAACACGGGGAATCACACACAGCATGAGGGACGACGTCACACTGAACAGAGGGAGACGCAGACAGAAATACACGGAGGTTAACGAGGGAAGTGGAACACACGGGGAACACAGGTGACACTGATAATCATAACGAGACAGGGGGGTGAACTGAACACTGACGGAGAGGTGAAACAGGAAGTACAGGAGGAGAGAGAGCACGAGTAGAACACCAACGTAACAGGCAGGGAGACATGGAATAAACACGAAAGGGACGAGGCTCATAAATACATAGAGGGCACACAGGGGGAAGAGAGAGCACGGGGAGAACTTAGACATAATGGGCAGGGAAGCATGGAATAAAACATAAGGAGAGACGAGGGCTCACAGATACACAGAGGGCACACAGGGGTAAAAGCCATGAAGGGAAAACACTTAGGGAACAACACAACAGGGCAACTCAGAAAACATGGCCTAAGCAAGGAACAAAATACAAACATACAAGAAAACTAAGAACACTGGCCAACATGGCCCAGGACCATGACTCCACCAACACAGATGCCTTTACTTCTTTAATTTATTAACAGATCTTCTTCTTCTTTTGGCAGCTCCCTTTAGGACCACAG